TACTATAGTCAGTAGATACTGCTATAGTCAGTAGATACTACTATAGAGTCAGTAGATACTACTATAGAGTCAGTAGATACTACTATAGTCCGTAGATACTACTATAGTCAGTAGATACTACTATAGAGTCAGTCGATACTGCTATAGTCAGTAGATACTACTATAGTCAGTGGATACTACTATAGTGTCAATAGATACTACTGTAGAGTCAGTAGATACTACTGTAGAGTCAGTAGATACTACTGTAGTGTCAGTAGATACTACTATAGTCAGTAGATACTACTGTAGTGTCAGTAGATACTACTATAGTCAGTAGATACTACTATAGTCAGTAGACACTGCTATAGAGTCAGTAGATACTACTATAGTCAGTAGATACTGCTATAGTCAGTATATACTACTAGAGTCAGTAGATACTACTACAGAGTCAGTAAATACTACTAGAGTCAGTAGATACTACTGTAGAGTCAGTAGATACTACTGTATTGTGTTCAACTGAGTCGCAGACACAGACTTGGAGGAAACACATTTATTCAGTTCCAACACACGGGGTAACTTCCCCTTAACAGAATAACAACCTATGGTGGTGACCACCAGGCTAGTAACACTAGTTACAACGCAAGTGCTACTATGGGACCAGGGCCTCTGGTCGAGCACCAATTGGGTCGAGGCTCAAAAGAAAGCCGTCCCTTGGTGTGGACCAATCAGTTTCAAGGATTCTAGATTTGAAGCTTTCGTGACAGCAAGGATTCATATTCTTAGGTTTTTTCGGTAAAGTCACGTAGGTAGAAAATTAAAATTAATAAAAGTCGTGATTTTTATTTTATTTTTATTTTACTTTTATTAATTTTAATTTTTTACCTACGTGACTTTACCGAAAAAACCTAAGAATAAGTTTCAGGGATAATGCCAATATATTATCATAGTGTGTTTTTGTTTGCATTTTTACCACACGTATTGTGGTTAATGTAAACATGATTCCTTGTAAAAAAGTTTCAGGTTTGTTGCCAGAAAAAGGGGAAAAAATCCTCTTATTATATTTTGGTACTGGCAAAGAAGGTCTAATGATACCGGCTATAATATTTGAGTGTATAGTGGTAGTGTATAGTAGTGTAGTGTATATATATAAAAAAGTGAAATTTGTGAATGTGTGCGTCTGTTAAAAATGTTTAGCGTACTTCCCGACATGCAACAAACTTGAAATTTACCATGCGGCTACTTTCCAGACGGTACACCATGCAAACATTATAAAAAATAGACTTTTGTATTTTGGGGGGGGGGGGCACAATAATGCTGATATTTTGCACAGCAAGTGGGCTGTAACGTGACATCTGTCATGTGACCCGCGCATGTGGAAGCGTAACGCAGTGTGCCAGCTCATGTCACCATCCGCGAGTAAAGTTCCATACAAATGTAATAACTGACTTCGTCAGGCACATCTGGTCTCTGTTGGTCTTTTATTAAATCCTTTATATTAAGTTCGCTTGCTTGCTTAGGACCGTGCAAATCTTTCGGTCGTTTTTAACCCACTTCCCGTGATCCAATCGAGCTGACATTTTGCACACAGACTCGTTGTGCGTGACAATGCATTTTCGTGAAAAAATGTTTTCCAAAATTTTACACTGTTTAGGGGAAAATTTTTTAATACTTAATTACCAATTGTTTAATGCTGCCAGACAATCATCTGACCCATAGGTGGCAGCCATCTCAAGCCAGAGGACGAGAGGACTCTAGCCGCCAGATGCCACGCATATAAAGGATTTATAGTGAAAAACTTTGTTTTTACGGGTTTACTTGTTTCCTCCTGCGTCTCCTCGTGCGCGCCTATGCACGCTCCTCCAACAGCTCCTCCGCTCCCTCACTCCGCACACCGCTGGCGTGCCGAAGATCCTTCGGCCACGTGGCCGATGGCGCGGATACCATCCTCTTAACTCCCGCAACTGAGCCCGATCCCTTCCGGGCTCCCACCTCTACCCTCTCCACCATCCGCTGTTGGCCTCCTCAACAAGGCCAAGGGCTTAAAATGACTTTTACACTTAAAATGACTGTTACACTTACATTTTAATTACATAATTTACACCTTTCCATACTTACGTGTAATCTTATTTGTATTTTAAGATTGTTTAATACGGCTAATTAACATTTTACATTTCGCATTTTATAAGGTCTACTTATTCATAATATTAAAGATTTTAGCCCTTTAGTATTACTTATACTTTGTAACGTTAGTATAGTTAGAGTGTATACCTTTTACATAAGTTAAGATTCCTACTTGTTCAATGTATGCACCGTCCCGCCATAGTGAATTCCTTTCGATTTAAAGCTTTCGTGACTGCAGGGATTCATCTTCTTGGTTCTTTCGGTAAAGTCATCACGTAGAAGGGAAGTAATAAAACAATAAAAATAAAACATAATAAAATAAAAATGTTTTATTTTTATTGTTTTATTACTTCCCTTCTACGTGACTTTACCGAAAGAACCAAGAAGAAAAAAGTGAATTCCTTGTTTGTGCAAACTTACATGGCGATTAAAACCGTTTCTGATTCTGACGTAACCCTGACCACTCCCCTTCCGGATCGTCAGATCCGGCCTTCCCATACTGCCCTGCTGGCTCCACCCCCATTCACCTCGCTTCCCATTGGAGGCGAGGTGAACGGCGGCCCCTCCCACACGCCCCCCATACCGGGCTCCCATTACAACATTAACGTTTATCTGGAACCTTTAACATTGAATGAAGTATCCATCGCGAAAGGTTGAACTCACCAAGAGCAGGCAGAGCAGTGTAGACATCACCAGCAGTCTCACCGCCCCTCCTCGTCCTGACTCATGACGGCCGCAGTGTTCGTGCATCGGGTTGAGCCTGGCTCCATTCTCCATTCGCCCGCGTGTGTGTTTATGTATGTGTGTGTATGTGTGTATGTATGTGTGTATGTGTGTATGTATGTGTGTGTATGTATGTGTGTTTGTGTGTATGTGTTTATGTGTATGTCTGTGTGTCTGTATGTATGTGTGTTTATGTGTATGTGTGTATGTATGTGTGTTTGTGTGTATGTCTGTGTGTATGTAAGTGTGTGTATGTATGTGTGTTTGTGTGTATGTGTTTGTGTGTATGTATGTAAGTGTGTGTATGTAAGTGTGTGTATGTAAGTGTGTATGTGTTTGTATGTGTTTGTGTGTTTACGCTCGCATTACACAAATGTGTTGCGGGTCTAAGGCGTTCCTCGCGCAGCATTGCTGCTTTATTATTTCAGTCGTTAACTGCCGTACGCACCCTAAAAGTTGTGTGTCTGCAGCAAGCGCGTGTATGTGTACCTATGGACGCGCGCGCGTGTGTTGTGTAGGGGGAACGGTGGTGTAGTGGTTAGCGTGCTGTCTGTGTGTGTGTCTGTCTGTGTGTGTGTCTGTGTGTGTGTGTGTCTGTGTGTCTGTGTGTCTGTGTGTGTGTGTGTCTGTGTGTCTGTGTGTGTGTGTGTGTGTCTGTCTGTGTGTGTGTCTGTGTGTGTGTGTGTCTGTGTGTCTGTGTGTGTGTGTGTGTCTGTGTGTGTCTGTGTGTGTGTGTGTGGCTGTGTGTGTCTGTGTGTGTGTCTGTCTGTGTGTGTCTGTGTGTGTGTGGCTGTGTGTGTGTGTGTCTGTGTGTGTGTCTGCGTGTGTCTGTGTGTGTGTCTCTGTGTGTGTCTGCGTGTGTGGTGTGTGGGGAGCGGTGGGTGTAGTGGTTAGCGCTACGCTGCGCTACGAACCCGGCGAACCGAGTTCGATTCCCGCTCACGGCCACCACCGGTGACGATTATTTGAACCTCCCCTAGGTCGACTCAGCCTCAAACGAGTAACTGGTGTGGTGTGTGAACATCGCCACTGGGGAGACAAAGGCGGCCGGGCGTGGTGAATCCAAGTCCCGGGCGAAGCCGGGTAGTCAAGCTAGTGGTAGTGTATAGTAGGGGTAAGTGCTGTTCGTAGTAGCGAGTAGTAGCACCTAACACAGACAAAGGTCCCCCACGCAGAATATAAAAGTCTGTAGGGGCAAATGCTGTTAGCGAGCACCTATGATGGCCCAGGACCGGTGGTGGTGTTGGTGGTAGTGGTGGTGGTGTTGTTGGTGGTGGTGGTGTTGTTGGTGGTGTTGGTGGTCATGTTTGTGGTGGTGGTGTTGGTGGTGATGTTGGTGGTGGTGTTGGTGGTGTTGGTGGTGGTGTTGATGGTGTTGGTGTTGGTGGTGTTGGTGGTGGTGTTGGTGTTGGTGGTGTTGGTGGTGTTGGTGGTGGTGATGTTGGTGGTGGTGGTGTTGGTGTTCGTGGTAGTGTTGGTGGTGATGTTGGTGGTGGTGTTGGTGGTGATGTTGTTGTTGGTGGTGTTGGTGGTGTTGGTGGTGGTGGTGTTGGTGGTGTTGTTGGTGGTGTTGGTGGTGTTGTTGGTGGTGGTGGTGGTGGCCGTGGCGGTGAGCTCCCCACTCACGAGCATTCTCCACCACAACAACCACCACAACAATAACAACCACCACCAAAACAATAGCCACCAACAACTACCACAAGAACATCAACCACAACCACCACCACTACCAACAACAACCAGCAGCAGCAGCACGGCTTCTGTCAGCAGCCGTCACTCCGACCCGAGGCGTCGTCACCTTCCACCTCACCCCCTGCCCCTCCCCCCCTTCCCCCTCCCTTCCTCCTCCTCCCCTTCCCTCCCCCTCTCATCCCTCCTCCCTCCCTTCCTCCTCCCCCCCTCTCCTCCCCCCCTCTCCTCCTCCCTCCTCCCCCCTCCCTCCTCCTCCCTCCCCCTCCCTCCTCCTCCTCCCCTCCCTCCTCCCCCCCTCTCCTCCCTCCCGACCTTCCCCCTCCCTCCTCCCCCCTCCCTCCCTTCCTTCTTCCCCCTCCCCTTACCCCCTCCCTCCTCCCCCCTCCCTCCTCCCCCCCTCTCCTCCCCCCCTCTCCTCCCCTTCCTCCTCCCCCCTCCCTTTCCCCCTCCCTCCCTTTCGTTTGGCTACAAACTGAAAGGGGAAGTAGGAGACGCTCACCCTGTCTCTCTCTGTGTCTGTCTCTCTCTATGTCTGTCTATCTGTGTCTGTCTCTCACTGTGTCTGTCTCCGTCTCTCGCTTTATTGAGAGGTAGAGAGGCAGGTGAGGGGTGAGAGGTGAGAGAGACTGCGGGATGGAGACACCTGGAGCTTCAACTCCAGCCCAGGAAGAGGATCTTCGCTCGTAGCGTTTTATGTCTTCATTTGTGGTGAGACTGTGTGTGAGTCTGTGGTTCTTTGTGTGAGTCTGTGGGTCTCTGTGTCTGTGTGAGTCTGTGAGTTTGTGGGTCTCTGTGTGAGTCTGTGGGTCTCTGTGTGAGTCTGTGGGTCTCTGTGTGAGTCTGTGGGTCTCTGTGTGAGTCTGTGGTTCTCTGTGTGAGTCTGTGGGTCTCTGTGTGAGTGTGTAAGTCTGTGTGTCTCTGTGTTTGTCTGTGGGTCTCTGTGTGATTCTGTGGGGCTCTGGTGTGGTGAGTCTGTGGGTCTCTAGTGTTGTATGGGTCTCTGTGTGATAGTCTATGGGTCTCTGTGTGATTAGTCTTTGGGTCTCTGTGCGTGTCTGTGGGCCTCTGTGAGGTGATGGGTCTCTGTGTGAGTCTTTGGGTTTCTGTGTGAGTATCTGGGTCTCTGTGTGTGTCTGTGGGCCTCTGTGTGTGTCTAAGTGATGCACGTGTTGAGCGAGCGATTTCCCTGATCATGAAGTTGGCATGCACGCTGCCATTTATAGGTGGGAAACAGCAGTTCGCGGTGTGTAATGTGTATTGTATAATTGTGTGTAGTGTATGGTGTGTAGTGTATAATGGTGTATATTGTAGTGTTATAGTGCAGTGTGTAGTGTATATTGGTGTCTTCTTTTCTTATATATAAAAGTCTCTTGCGAGGGATTTGGATGCACGCCCTAAGCCCCGTGCTTGGCATAGGCTATTCCTTTTTCACGTCCGTCACCTTTAAATTAGTTAAATTAGCTTTTTTTTTGGCGATTTTGTATAGTTACGCTATTATTTATGTTCAGTAAAACCTTTGATTGCGAGCATAATTCGTTCCGGAAACGTGTTTGTAATCCAAAGCAGAGCCGGCCCAGCCACTAAGCGACCCTTGCAATTGCAAAGGGCCCCGTGGCCAGCAGAGGGCCCCCTAGAGTCACTGCTAGCGAGTGGCTGAAAACAATCATACATCAAAGGGGCCTCCAACCAAATTTTGCTTAGGGACCCCCAAAGGTCTTGGGCCGGCTCTGATCCAAAGCACTCGTATATCAGTTGTGATCACGTGACGCTCGGCAGACAAAGCGTATACTACAGGCACTACTCGTATTGCAAGACCTCGCTCGTTAATCAAATTTAATATTTATTTTAAATTTTTGCTCGTCTTACAAGACACTCGCAGACCAAGGTTTTACTGTATTTCCCTTCTCCCCGCGCTGTGTGACAACGCAGCCAGCTGCACTTGCGTGCAATGCCCACTAGTTTACCCCCCCTAGCTACCCACACGTGCCCATCGCCCCAAGGTAAGTCGCACACTTTTAAAACTATGATATGCATTTATAGAAGACGTAAGTTCGCACAAATTAATATTATAAGCATTTATATAATTACACTTTGCACTGCTCACATGGGTTGCCCCGAGCAACGCACACACGATCGCCACCTATTTTCATTCGCCTTACACATGCAGCACAAACACACCAAACACGTTCATTCTTCACAGTGTGATGTCCTCTTCTCCCCACCCCACCCCAATGACACCCCAATGCGTTCTCAAACTACTATAGAGCCCCTACACATCATTAACACATTCCTGCGGAGGGAGCTGGTAGGAACGTTGGGTTGCTCGGTCAATGGCCTGCAGGGTCAACGGCGGCGTGGTGTGTTCCGCAAATATGGCTGACTGTGAGGGCGGGCACAAGCCGGCGTGAGTAGGTTAAACGTTGAGTTTTATAAGGGCACCACGGGGTGACCAGCCCCTCCCCACCCAGCCCCACCCTCCCCACCCAGCCCCTCCCCACCCTCCCCACCCAGCCCAGCCCCTCCCCACCCAGCCCCTACCTTCACGACGGACGGATGGACACAATAATCCCCTGTGGGCTGGTGGAACCAGTGGGTTCCTACCAGTATTATTATAGCGTGTTACATGCCATTATTGTAGCGTGGCCGGGGGGAGCGGGCCAGCCCCCAGCCTGCCAAGGTCACACCTCGGCGGGCTGGGAAATCTGGGCAAGGCCGGGGGCTCTGCACAGAACTAGACCTCACCACGGCACTCTGTCTGCTTACTACTTTGTGCTATATATTCCTTTATACTGCTATACAGTCAGCATGTACTACTGTAGTGCCTCTACAGTCTGTTAAGGCTATATGGGGGATCTTTTTGCGTGTGAGTCCATGTGTGTGTGAGTCTATGTGTGTGTGTGTGAGTCCATGTGTGTGTGTCTGTACGTCAGTGCTCACCACAGCGTTTCCGTCTGGCACCAACTAGGAGGTACCTGTAGGTGGTTGTTTTGCTGGACCAGACACACACACAAAAACACACAAAGATACACACGCATACACACACGCAGACACACACCGACACACACACTACAGACACGCAGACACATCAAAGACACGCACGCAGATACACGCGCAGGTACACACGCAGATAGACCCTAACACAGTGATACACACACAGACACACACAGGCACAGACACAGACACACACGGAACCATGCGGCATGAAAACACAGCAACACCTCAAAGGAGCCCCTTTGCGATCTCGTGGTGTGCGCGGTGCGTTGCTCAGGAGATACGAACTGAAGATGCCCATCGGATCATCATCATTATGATAAGAAGAAGAGGGAGTTGGTGGTTGGAGGCGATGGTGGTTTCCGAACGGGGGAAGATGCTCGCGGCGGTGCTGGCGCTCTGCTGCTGTGTCAGATTGGTGGCTGCGGTAAGAGAAGGGAGGGAGGGGTTGATGATCATGATGATGATGGTCACTGCTATCAGGTACAGGAGGTCGTGGGTTCGATCCCATGACCCTGACGATGCCTGCTGCTGTATATTCGAAGTCTGCGTCTCTCTCATCATGACCAAGGAGATGTTAACTCCCTCGCCTGGTGTACAGGAGGTCGTGGGTTCGATACCGTGACCCTGACGATGCTTGCTGCTGCTGTATATTTGGAGTCTGCATCTCTCTCATCATGACCACGGTGGCTAGGAGATGTTGACTACCTCGCCTGTTGTACAGGAGGTCGTGGGTTCGAGTCTCTGACCCTGACGATGCTTGCTGCTGCTGCTGTATATTTGAAGTCTGCGTCTCTCTCTCTCTCTCTACCCGTGGTAGTCACTGTGTGGATTTTAGCTCGGTAGCTTCTGAAAAAGAGATACACCGCCACTTAGTGGTGAATGGTGGTTGTTGTTTTATATCTGCTTGTGTGTCTGTGTGTGTGTATCTGTGTATGTGTGTCTGTGTGTGTGTATCTGTGTATGTATATCTGTGTGTGTATCCGTGTGTATCTGTTTGTGTGTGGGAGTGGTAGTGTAGTAGCGTTTAGCGCTATTCTACAAACCCGGCGACCCTAGTTAGATTCCCACTTACGGCCACCACCACCAGTGATAGCGATTATCTGAAGCGGTCCTGGGCCTCCCCCAGGTCGACTCAGCCTCAAAATTGTACCTGGTACGATGGTGTAATTACATCACCACTGAAAGACACAAAGGCGGGCTTGCGTGGTGCTGGCCACCCATCCCCTCGTGTGCCACAGTGCCAGTAGCCTTCATAGGCACTGCTGCTCGCTAACAGCACCAACAGTCTGTTACAGGCTACACGGACACGGGGGGGGATCTTCGTTTTTGTGTTGATAACGACGACGATGATGATACACTATGACACCTCCTTTACCAGTGGCAAAATATAGTAGTAGGTTTTTACCCTTTAAACTGGTACAAAACTGACACCTTTATACAAAGCAATCATGTTTGCAATAACCACAACACAAGCAGTCAAAATGCAAACAAAAAGAAACAACTCTGATAATTATAATAATATGCACTGTCCTTGAAGTTGGGTGTGGACCAATCAACTTCAAGGACAGTGTAATGCGAGCGTAAATGGGCGGGTCGGATGTGACGATCCGAGAGGGAGGAGTCAGGGTCACGTGGGGGAGAAGTGACAGCGGGGAGACAGGAAGACATCTGGAGCAGTCGGGGGAGTGAAGAGGGGAGACCACGTTGGGTGGTCGCCGTGCCTCAGCCTGGTGGCTGAGGGGCTCATGACGGCGCCAGCCAGCGGGGTGGAAGAGAGAGTTGGGGATAGAGACAGGGAGAGGCCACGCAGGGCGGAGGTTGGAGAGTGGCGAGATCGCCACAGAGGCCACGCAGGGCGGAGGTTGGAGAGTGGCGAGATCGCCACACACAGTAAGACTCGGCACCGTCGGCCAGCGGTGACCGAGCACGGAGGAACGAGGAGCAGCGGTGGAGCTGCTGTGAGAGCAGCCGGAGGACTGCACAGGGGAGCCTGCAGCGGAGCTGCACCGGAGCGAGAAAGGCTACGGGAGCGACGGCAGCATCGGGCTGCCAAACGGAGAGGCTCTGAGCGAGGGCCGTGTGGGACAAGTTGTAAAGAACCCGAATAAAGGACAACGGAGACAGACACAGTGAACGAGTCCTTTATTACAAAGGTGTCAGTTTTGTACCAGTTTAAAGGGTAAAAGCCTACTACTAGACGATGATGATGATGGAGTGCGACGACCTCATAACAACAAAGTTACAAACGCACGTAAAAAAACACCAAGGTCTAATGAAATGCAACCCTTTCCTGCCGCCCACAGACACCCACAGAGGCTCCGTGCCCTCATGGATTTCACCGGGTGGTAGAAACTGGCCTTTGCTGTGAGCTGTGCAAGCCAGGTAAGGGCAGAGCCAAAACACGAAATCGTACAGTCACGGCATTAAAGTAAATATGCCCAGTCTGTCATACATTTGTTGACAGACTGGGCATATTTGATTTGGAATATTACAACTGTTTAGAACCCCCCTGTAGTTAGACGCTCCGTTGGTTGAACCCATGACGTCACTTCCGGTCTGACAGTATTTTGTGTCGTAGACACTAAGAGAGTTGTCGTTTTTTAGGCATGCATTGTGGGTAATGGTGGCTAGGGAGATGTTGACCACCTCGCTTAGTGTGCAGGAGGTTGTGGGTTCGATCCGTTGACCACAATGCCTGTTACCACTGTGTCTAGGAAGATGTTGACTAGCTCGTCTGGTATGCAGGAGGTCATGTGTTCGATCCCAACCCTGACTGTGCCTGCTGCTGTATATTTTGAGTTTGCGTCTCTCTCTCATCATCATCACGGTGGCTAAGATATGTTAACTACCTCGCCTGGTATACAGGAGGCCATTAGTTCGATCCCGAACCTGACGATGCCCTTCTGTCTTCTTGGTTCTTTCGGTAAAGTCACGTAGAAGGGAAATAATAAAATAATAAAAATAAAGCCTAAAATAATTCTCACGACGTTTCGGCCACAACGCAAGCAGCCGTCCTCATTCTTCACCTGAGGACGGCTGCTTGCGTTGTGGCCGAAACGTCGTGAGAATTGTATTTTATTATGTTTTATTTTTATTATTTTATTACTTCCCTTCTACGTGACTTTACCGAAAGAACCAAGAAGATGAATCCCTGCAGTCACGAAAGCGTTAAATCGAAAGATGCCCTTCTGCTCCGCGTCTCTCTCTCTTGATGCAGACAGTTCGCGTCGAGTTCCAGACGCGATTCACCGATAACTAAATTCGTGAATAACGAGGTGGATGACGATGATGATGATGATGTTGTTTGTATGTTTTGCGTCTCTCGTTTTTTGCAGGGCAATTCGTGCTGTTTGAATGCATGGAAAACAAAGGCCCCTCGATCTGTGGGAAATGTCCTAATGGATACTACACGGCCGTAGCAAACTACCTATTAGGATGTTTGAAATGCAAGCCCTGTAAGCAAGGTAACAACCACTTCCCTCGCGTCTTCACCAATGAGAATTGGCGTTCCTCTAAATATTCGATTTGGATGTATGGGAGCATATAGTAGTGTAGTGTGTTTTAGTGTGTAGTAGTGTATAGTAGTGTAGTTTTTTATAGTAGTGTAGCGTGTAGTAGTGTAGTGTGTGGAAGTGTAGTGGATAGTATTGGTGTGTAGTAGTACAGTGTATAGTAGTATAGTATATACTAGTGTAGTGTATAGTTGAGTAGTATATAGTAGTGTATAGTAGTATAGTGTAGAGGCTGACTGAAATACGGTTTCGGCGCCGAAAGTTGTCAAATGGCCTCTTTCGGCATACTTTCGTTTTCGGCCAAAAGTCAATTTTTTCTTTCGGTCTAGGTTTGGTTTCGGCCGAAACTGATATTGACTTTCGGTCGTCACTAATAAACGGAGCAGTTAATCACCATGACGAATGTCGTAACATGCGGTTTAGGATTACTTCACTAAAGTCGATTCTAATGCAACCAAGGCGCAGCAACCGGCTGAGGGAGAATGTGGAAAAAATGTTGTTTCTTAACTACAACATTTGTTTGTTTGGATATAATTACTAAGTAAGTAACACATAAAGATTTTATATTTAGCGACTCTTACTGCAGGCTCTGAATGATTAGTTCTAGATGTATTTTTTATTAAAGTAGCATTGCATCATGATTAATAAATCTCGTGTTCGGTAACTTCAGTTATATACCTTTCTGTTTCGGTCTCGGTCGAAAGTGTAGTTAAACTTTCGATTTCGGCTTCGGTTTCGGCTGAAAGTCAATTTTTAACTTTCAGCCTGGTTTCGGTTTCGTACTACTAACTTTCAGCCTGGTACGGTTTCGTACTACTTGTGGAGTGCATACGCACTCCACAAGTACTAATCCCATATCTGCATTTCCCATAAATATGCTAAATTTCTATTGATATGCAAATTATTTTGTTAAGGCGCACCTGCCCGCTCCAACCTAGCTTAAATAGACACTCCAAGCCTGGGGTGTGTCATTCAGACGCTGTCTTCTCGACAGACCTGTTTCTTCACCTGAGGACGGCTGCTTGCGTTGTGGCCGAAACGTCGTGAGAATTCTTTTATTATGTTTTATTTTTATTATTTTATTACTTCCCTTCTACGTGACTTTACCGAAAGAACCAAAAAGATGAACAACGTAATAGTTTTCCCAACAAATGTGATTAAAAGTTTACAATAGCGACACACACAACACACATCACTAAACCTAGCATCCTTTGCTAGCTGCATAAGTCAATCCATAACAGCCAGATTAACAATAGCAGTAGCAGCGCAATATAATCAAAATACATAATAATTTCATGCATCGGTCATCGATAGCTATATTTTTGATTTCAGGCCACAGGATAGCAGTGGCGGCTATGGTTGTACGACTCCTCTGGAGCATTTTTGAGTGATCGTCTTGTTGGTAACGATCCAAGCTGCAGTTTATTTGCGATAGCATTCCAGACCCTGGGGGCATCTATAGCAAAAGCCCTTCCTCCAGTATTTGTACGACAATTAGGAATGCGAAGCTGGTAAATGAGTGAGGATCTTAGCTCATATTTGTTTTCCGAAACAATAAGGAGATCAATGAGGTAATCTGCGGATTTTTTTGTAAGTACATCCTAAATAAATAATATCTGATGCATAAGACATCGATCATGTAGAGATGTTAAGTTTGACCCAATGTAGAGATCGCAGTGGTGGGTCCTATATGGGCAGTTCAATGCAAATCTTAAGGCCGAGTGATATATTGAGTCAAGCTTCTTCAGAACAGTACTGGGTGCTGATTTATATACGATGTCACAGTAATTAAGTAGAGACAGTATGGTAGCTTTTATCAATTCCAAACGGAACATAGGGGGGAAGCAGTGCTTGTGTCGATACAGAAAACCCATTTTTATTTTTGTCTTTTTAGCAATATAATCAATGTGATCTTGAAAATTCAGTTTTGAATCAAGGATGACCCCAAGATACTTATAGATCTTGACTTGCGCTATTTGATCATTATCTTTTGAATGTCCACACCAGAGACAGCTGTCTCGGGTGTAGACCAATCAACTTCAAGGACAGTGCATACATTATCAGAGTTATGTTTTTTTTTGCATTATGACTGCAGGTATTGTGGTCTATGCAACATGACTCCTCGTAAAAAAGGTGTCAGTTTTGTTGCCTGATAAAAGGGTAAAAAACCAATTATCGTAATAAAGCTCGTTGAGGCGACTTCTGGAATCCGTCTTTTATTCAACTTGTATTACAGCTTTCCTTCACGCTGCTGACAGGCAGCGTGAGAGGGACAGAGAGAGAGAGACGCACCGCCACGTAGCAACCCGGAGCCCCGCTCCCGCGTGGCCCCCTTCCTCTGTTCGTTCCTGTTCTGACCACGTGTCGTACGTCTCCACCCCTATTTAATACCCAGGTCACATGGTACGTTTCCACCAATCCTGGTTAACCTCCATGGAATATTCCAGGCTCCCTCGTAAGCTCCCGGAGCCACGCCCCTGACTCGTCTCCCCATTGGCTGTGGCCAAAGCCAGCAGAACCAATCCTTACAGCTGTTACCTTCCCGTGACGTCAGGGCCACGCCCCTAGGCTTCCCCCCATTGGCTATAGACCAGGACCGGCAGAGCCAATCATCGTGACGAGTTGTGATACGTAAACGACCCGGATATAACCTCACATTACATTAACACTGTTTGACCTCCAACCATCTGTGAAGATAGTTTGGGTGCGAGAACAGAGGTAATTTTTTTACCATTTTACTGAGTGTTCGGAGAAATGGAGGAAACCTAGTTTACTTAGCAAGATATTGTGGTCTACTGTATCAAAAGCTTTTGATAAGTCAAGAAAAAGACTGGCGCAGTACTGCTTTTTATCAAGGCTACTGTAAATGTGATTGAGAGAGTCTAATGCAGCGGATTCGGTGCTGTAATTTTTTCGGAAACCTGATTGTTTTCTATTCAATATATTGTTTTCTGACAATAAACTGCTCATTTGCGTTTCTCTCTCTCTCTCCGTGGTGGTCACCACCTGGATTTTTCTTTGTTTTTCTGCACAGACGAGGAATTTGTCCAGCCTTGCAACGGGAGCTCCGCCACGCTGTGCCGATGTAAAGCCGGTTTACACAAAGCAGACGATGGGCTCTGCGTACAAGGTCCAAGCAATGCAATTCCGACCGGTGCACCCAGCAGTAACACGAACGCAGGCTGAGGCCCCCATGCTCACGGTGGCTTAGTTAGATGTTGACTACCTCGCCTGATGTGCAGGAGGGCGTGGGTTTGATCCCCAACCCTGATGCATGTTGCCACGATGTTAGTGTGATGCTAGCGCCTCTGATTAGCACGGTGGGCTAAGAACAGTGAAAAAGAAGTTCAACGCACATACATACACAGAGACCCAAAGACACCAATAGACCCACAGATACCCACATAGAGACACCCATATTGACTCACATATTACCACAGTCGGCTACGTACGGTGCGAAAGAAGTCCACCGCACGTACATACATACACTCACTCACCCACACACCTCCGAATAGCACGGTCGGCTACGTGTGGTACAAAAGTGGTTAAATTACCGAGAGAGAATTGGATAGCAGAAGCAGCAGAAGCAGCCCTTGTTTTGTTATGAAGACGTCGTTACTCACGGCATAGAGAGAGAACCCCAGTGACATGAACCGGCTGCAGCACGCTGTCTTTCTACGATGGCCGGCACCAAAAACTGTGCCGCACTCACGCAGCCACGCACGCTCCCCTCTCCCACAAAACCTCGCATGTGGGGAGCCTCAGTACTTGACGACGCACCGACAAAAGTAATATTTACATTTGTACTTTTTTCACTTCTGGTTTTTATTTCCGATGACGTACACAACAACAACAACAACCGCCATTCGCCACTAAGTGGCGGTGACGTCACCACGACGCTTGTGCCAGGCCATGTGCACTTTGAGGCCACGTGAAGTGTCGAACGCCCGCTGGCAGGAGGTCAAGGGGTAGACCCAGTTGCCACGGGTCGACTGACCGAGATGACCGAGATGACTGGCTGATGCACCACCTGTGCCCCCTACTGTGCCAACTTGCTGTGCTTTAGCCACCCGGCGCTCCGCTCGTTGTTGTGAGCGTCGCTCCTCCGCCCTCCGTTGTTGTTGGAGGGCGACTGCCTCCAACTGCCCAGTAGCGTCCTTCACGAGCCTCCTCCACAGAGGCCGATCTTGACACCGCTGGTACCAGTCATTGGCAAGTCCACTCAGCTCCACATCCTCCTGTACCACATCACTCCATCTCTTCTCTAGCCCGTGCCGCGCCCGTTTAGCCCCCTCGATCCGGCCAAACAAAAGCTGTTTAGGCATGCGGTGGCTGGGCATGCGGGCTACATTGCCCAGCCAATGCAGCTTTGCCTGTCGGAGGAGCTCTCCGAAGGAACTTTGTCCAGATTTTTCAAGGATTTGTGAGCTCCTCACACAATCCAGCCTGCAGGTTAAACCCAGGATGGATTGTAGGCAGGCCGGCCTGAATTTTTTAGAGGGGTCCACGTTTCACAAGCAGAGAGAAGACCCGAAGCTCTGTGCGAAGTGACAGACCAGGTAGCTTCCACACAGCATTGTGTAGCCGATGAAAATATATAGCCGCCCAGCTGATTCAGAGTGAGACCTCTGCTGTGTAAACAGGAGCTGGTCATAAGCACACTGCTCAGACATGGTAAACTCTCCACTCTTTGCACAACTGCTCCATCACACAAACTACCCATGCTTAGTTTTGGTGGGGCTGATGGTAAGACCCCACCTCTTAGTGGCACACTTCAGTTTCAGCAGCAGCACCTCCAACTCCTCTTCTGAGTGAGCAGCAATCACCAGATCATCAACATACATAGACACATATACAGACATACACATAGACACATACACAGACATACACATAGACACATACACAGACATACACATAGACACATACAGAGAAACACACAGACACAGAGAGACAGCGACACACACAGACACACACACAACCCTGTGTGCGTCTCTTTTGAAACAGGAGGAGGCAAGACAGCGGGCATTGTGGTGGCCGTGATTCTGCTTCTGTTTGTCGCTGCTGCTGTTGCTGCGTTCATTTACAAGAAGAAGGGTGGAAGATTTCCTTGCGGTAAAGTAGCGCGCATTTTCACTTCTGGCATTGCACCTATAAACTAGAATCTTTATTTATTTATATACTGGCACAGGAGGAAATCCCAACAGCCGTGAAGCTCTTCATTGACTTCATGTCCAGTTTGTGCACGAGGTCAGAAAGTTGAGAATCAGAATATTTATTTATATACTGGAAGAGGAAATCTCAAGAGCTCTAAAGCTCGTTATTCACTCATTGTCCAGTAAGGGGGCGTAAGGTCATCAAGTTCAGAATCAGGTTATTTATATATATTTATATACTGGAGGAAATCTGATGATCTATGAAGCTCTTCTGTTCCCACAGATGGCGCTAGTAAGTTTTTCACCGGACCAGGTAAAAGCGTGACAGAATGTGACCACCACTGGACTTGGCTGCTGCTATAATTGTCTACAAGATGGTGGATCAGCCCACGTGGTTGAGCTGCTATTACTTATGATGGCCAAGTCGCTTCTGAAAAAATCGCTCAGAAGCTTCTATGTCTCACGTGGTAGTCGCGTGGATTTTTCTCCTGGTTCTCCGGTTTTTCCCTCCACATTTAGAATCAACGTCACGCATTTAAGAGTATTTGGCTGCTGCTATACATATCTACGCGATGATGATGATGATGATGGTAATCAGCCACTTTGTTGAGCCGCTATCATTTGTGGTGGCCAGGTCGCTTCTAAAAAAGAGCTGCATAGTTCAGTGGGGCCTTACCTGGTAAAATAAAAAAGAGTTTCGCTTTAGTAAAAATGAAGTATGCCAAGCATCCTCAGTGGTGTGAACTGGCAATATCAGAGCTGCACACAATTTTGTTACATTTTGCCTGCATTCACTTGATTTTTTATCTTTTCTCGTTCAACCTCCAGAAGGGGAGCCTGGTAACTCTAATCAGCAAGAATCGACTGCATTGGGTCTGCTTAATGGGAATACACAAAACTAATATATATTTTTTATAAATATGAAGTATGCCAAACATCTTCGGTAGAGTGAACGGGCAATATCAGGGCTGCACACCCTTTTTAACATTTTGCCTGCATTCATTTGATTGTTTTTATTTTCTTTCTTTCATCCTCCAGAAGGGGAGCCTGGTAACTCTAATCAGCAAGAATCGACTGCATTTAGCCTGCTTAAAGAGAAGCCCCCAATCCCTGAGACTGGACCTTGTGCAGGTAAAGATGAACAGCAAATCACGCAGATTGATTCCAAACAAAATACTTGGGGCCCTGCAAGGATTTGTGAGTGGCTTCTTCATATGCGTGTACACCACCTTGTCTAACGGGCCACGAGTGAAAATTCAACCACAACCTCACCACACCTGGGCAGGGCAGTTTGGCGAAGGTGTTGAGGAAAGCAGAGGAGGGAACAATGTTGGATTTTGCCACGCCGACCTCCAGCCGTCCACAATGCCTAACAGCGGTCATGATTGTCACACGTGGTGGAGGAGAGGGCTCACAAAGGACGCTGCTGCTGCTGGGCAGTGCCAGGATAGGTGCACAGTTGAGGATGCTTACGTTCGGGGGGCCAAGTTGGGACGGCGACTGCCTCCAACTGCCTAGTAGAAGCAGCAGCGTCCTTCATGAGCCTCCTCCACAGAGGCCAATTTTGACACTGCTGGTACCAGTCATCGGCAAGTCCTCTTGTACCACATCACTCCATCTCTTTTCTAACCCATGCCACACCCAGCTAGTCCCCTCTATCCGGACGAAATGAAGCTCTTTGGGCATGCCGTAGCTGGGCATGTGGGCTACATGACCCAGTCAATGCAGCCTTGCCTGCCGGAGGAGCTCACTGATGGAAATGTTTTCAGATCTTTCAAGGATTTGTGAGTTCCTCACACAATCCAGCCTGGTTAAACCCCGGATGGATGTATGCAGGCAAGCCTTAATATTTCTAACTGACGAAGATGTTCCATTAGGGGGGTCCATGTATTGCTAGCATAGAGAAGGGAGGGCATGAGACCATGGCCAACCCAAAGCTTCATGTGGAGCGATAGGCCAGGTAGCATCCACACAGCGTTACGCAGCCGATGAAAATATACTGCTGCTCGACTGATTCAGAGTGAGACCCTGCTGTCAACTGGAGCTGGTCATAAGCACACTGCGTAGGTATGGAAACTTCTCCACTCTCTCCATAACTAATCCACCAATGGAGAGTTGAGGGGGGAGTGTTTGATGGCACAAAATGCCCAGGCAGGTGCTTAGTTTTGGTGGTTCACATTGTAAGGCCCCATCTCTTAGTTTCACGTTCCAAATTAGCAGCAGCACCTTCAACTCCTCCTCTGAGTGAGTAGCAATCACCAGATCATCAGCATACGTAACATGTTTGACCAATAGGGAGCCATCCCTCGACCACACACAGGCATAAATCAGCCTCCCATTGTATCTGTACCAGATGGATATCCCTCTGGTGCAGCTATGAAAGGCTTCTTGAACTGCATGGTCGAAAATTATGTTAAATAATGTGGGAGTCAGAGGACATTTTGTCACACCCAAAGGTGACCAGAGAATAGCTACAAATACTGGCCACCATCATGAAGGTCCTTAATGATAGTGAGCAGAAGGTCAAGGAATCCGAAAGCCACCACGCTCCCATGCCCCCTTCATTCTTTTGTTAAAAAGAGGAGCCACTCCCTGTTGTTTGGCAGTCTCCTGCCCCGAGTAGAGAACTGTTCACCCCTCATGGTTACTGGAGCCAAACTGGTCCACTGGAACTCCTAAATATTGCAGAGATCCAGGTGGTACCAGTCCAGCTCCTGATAGATGAGTTGCAGCCTCTCCTCTACAGTGACTGTTCGAACGTACCCCATGGCCAGTCAGAGTGCTTTTAAGTCGTTTCTGGAGGAACCCTGAAGGTAAGGATTCAGTCTCCTGGCCCTGTCAATTGGTTGTTGGCCAGAAGTTGTAGATACCTGTCCCCCCAGGGCCTCCGGTACAAGCTTAGTTCAATATTTTGCATGTAGTTTAGTGATAGTTTAATTGAAGGAGGAGGGGTTACCAGCCCCTCGCACCCATCCATAGCACCCATTTGGCCGCTGTGGTGGCTGCAAGCGCCATGAGGGGTTAAGCTGATAGGAATTGTCCTTCCCTCCATGGCAATGCTCACATCCACCACAGTGTTTCTGTCCATCACCACCACGGGAGGTAAGGGATTGCGTTTGCCGGACTCCCCCAATATATATACACACACACAGAGAGAGGAGAGACAGAGATGAACACCAGCATTTACTGTGGCGTCGCATCTCCTCCACTACTCACCAGTTGTTCGAGACATGGACGAGTCAATGGCTGCCAAGCTGATCAGAGGGAAGAGGCCGGAACTGAAGAAGTGGATTGGCAGGGACCCCACGTACCTGCTCGACTACTTGGACAGCAAAGAGTTGATCTCTCGCGACAAATACCACGGGGCCCGCAACATCATGGTGAAAGTGGAGCGCGCCAACTTTTTGATTGACGAGTTCATCGACAGGGACGACTGCCTCACGCTCTGGAGGGCTCTCGAAAGCATACAGGACCACTACCCTCAGGTGGAGGAGTGGATCTCAGCCTGTGCATCGACCATGCCTCACACTTGTGGTAAATCAATGCAAAACGAAATGCTGCAGCTGCTTTGATATGAAAAATACTACTGATGTTATGGCTTTGTTGTGTTTGGAACTCATTGGCCTACACCAGAGACAGCCTTGTTCATGTCCTTGTCTCTGCACCTATGTTAGACCCGATAATGAAGCCAAAAGATGGACAGTACAATGACAATGCAAGCAAACACTGCTTTGATATTCCATTGGAACCTCATTTGCCAGTAGCAAAATATGATAATTGTTTTTTACCCTTTTATCTGGCAACAAAACTGACACCTTTTTTACAAGGAGTCATGTTTGCATTGACCACAATACCTGCAGTCGGAATGCAAACAAAAAAACAGAACTCTGATAATGTATGCATTGTCCTTGAAATTGATTGGTCCACACCTGAGACAGCTTTCCTTAGAGCAGTGGTTCTTAACCTTTTTGGAGGTACCGAACCCCACCAGTTTCATATGCGCATTCACCGAACCCTTCTTAATTGTAAAAATAAAATATGATTTTTTCAAATTCAAAACATAGGTATATGTTTTACTGGTGCACAATCATATGAGTCGGTGTGTGTCCTCCGCCGAACCCCTGAGACTGACTCACTGAACCCCTGGGGTTCGATCGAACCCAGGTTAAGAACCACTGCCTTAGAGCCTAGTGTTTTTTTGTTTGCATTCCGACTGCAGGTATTGTGGTCAATGCAAACATGACTCATTGTAAAAAAGGGTCAGTTTTGTTGCCAGATAAAAGGGTAAAAAACCAATTATCATATTTTGCTACTGGCAAATGAGGTTCCATTGGTGTAAATGCTTACCCCGAGCTCTCATACTCTGATGGTGCATTGTCTTTGAGTTGTGCGCCTTTTGGCGTCATCTGGTCCAACACCACGTGAGACTAGGCTCTAAGGAAAGCTGTCTCGGGTGTGGACCAATCAATTTCAAGGACAGTGCAAACATTATCAGAGTTGTGTTTTTTTACTGTTATGTTTTTTCGGTAAAGTCACGTAGGTAAAAAAATTAAATTTAAATTAATGAAAGTAATAATAGAAATAAAATAAAATAATAAATCACGACGTTTTGGAGGCAACACAAGTCTCCGTCATCAGGTGGGACCGTCACAGCCAGATTTGCTGTATCAAGTGAGGCAAAAAATAATTAAAGATACAAGTTCATAAGTACAAGTTAAGGTGGGGGGGAGGAGGGGGGGAGGAGCTTATCTGAATGTGGTAGCCAATGAATAGAACATATTGGGGGGGGGGGGCGGGGCTAAAAGAGAACAACAGGTCACATGCTAAAGGTACACCTGGTGCTAGAAGAGAGCGACAATGCACATGTTGTTTAACCCAGTGTTGGTGGCCATCCAAATACAAAAAAAGGAGAGTGCTGTTAAACGCTGGGGATGTTAACACTCGGTAAAGTAGAATAGTACCTGTCATAAAAGATGGTCCAATAATGTGTAGTTAAATCTTTTTTGCATGGTTAATAACATCTTTCCAATGATTACTCAGTTTGTACCCATCATCATGTTTGAAATTATGTCTGTTTGTATATTTGGATGGCTTCGTGTACAAACCTTTGATGGTAGCCAGAGGGTTTGCAGAGCACCTTGGTCTCGGAAAAAACAATATCATGAGAGCCCACAGCATTGTAGCAATGATCGACAATGGCGGAAGACTCAATTTTGCCGTGTTTCAGATCTGACTTTTGCTCGCGGACACGATCAGAGACATGACGTTTCGTTTTCCCAATGTAGCAATCACTACAGCTGCAACTCGGTTTATAAACTCCAGGGTATTGCAAGTCAGGGATGACATCCTTCACAGATGGAATTAGATCACGGATTTTATGTACTGTACTGAATCGGACTTGGATCCTATGTTTGTTTAGAATTTTGGAGATCTTTTTGGTCACGCCTGCTATGTATGGCAACGTGATAGTTTTGATCGTAGTTTTATGTTGCTGTTTCTGTATGGTGGGAGAAGCAGCTTGGCGGATAGTATGGTCAGAGTATCTGTTCATCCTGAGGGCCCGGTGTACATGTCTTAATTCACTGGCCAGGTGGTGTTGGTCAGAAATGCCATGAGCTCTGTGGTATACCGTTTTGATGAGAGAATTATTTTGAGATGGGTGGTGGTGGGAATCGGGTTTCAAGTAGGAATCTGTGTGGGTGGCTTTCCTGTAGACAGAATGTCCCAAGGATCCGTCAGGTCTCCTCTCAAACAGAATATCTAAGAATGGTAGTTTGCCATCTTTCTCCACTTCCAGGGTGAATCTGATGGATGCGTGTCTGGAATTGATGTGGTCCGGGAAGTGGTTCAATGGTGGGAGGCCATGTGGCCAAATGACGAAAGTGTCATCCACATACCTCTTCCACAGGGAAGGACGCAGGGTGGATGTCTGGATGGCGTCTGATTCAGACTTTTCCATGAACATATTGGCTATCACTGGTGACAAGTGGGAGCCCTTAGGGGTACCCTCATTATGTTTGTAGAAGGTGCCATTCCAGGTAAAAGTGTTGGTGAGGCAATGCCTAACCAGCGCAGGTACATCCGAATTCAATCCATGTTGGACCAAGTCCTCAATTATTGTTAGTCTGTGAGGCACTGGGATACAATTTCATAAATACAAGTTAAGAGGAGGGGGAGGAGGGGGGGAGGAGCTTATATGAATGCGGTAGCCAATGAATGTAACGTATTAGGGGGGGGGGGCGGGGCTAAAAGAGAACAACAGGTCACATGCTAAAGGCGCACATGGTGCTAAAAGAGAACGACAATGCACATGTTGTTTTACCCAGTAGTTTAGGGGTAGTTAAATTGAAGGTGGAGGGGTTACCAGCCCCTCGCACCCATCCAGAGCACCCATTTGGCCGCTGTGGTGGCTGCAAGCGCCATGACGGGTTTAGCCGATAGGAATTGTCCTTCCCTCCATGGCATTGCTCACATCCACCACAGTGTTACTGTCCAGCACCACCACGGAGGTAAGGGATTACGTTTTGCCGGACTCCCCCACTATAAACACACACGCACACAGAGAGAGGAGAGACAGAGATGAACACCGGCATTTACTGTGGCGTCGCATTTCCTCCACTACTCACCAGTTGTTCGAGACATGGACGAGTCGATGGCTGCCAAGCTGATCAGAGGGAAGAGGCCGGAACTGAGGAAGTGGATTGGGAGGAACCCCACGTACCTGCTCGACTACTTGGACAGCAGGGATTTGATCTCTCGCGACAAATACAACGAGGCCAAAGACATCATGGTGAAAGTGGAGCGTGCCAAATTTTTGATTGACGAGTTCATCGACAGGAACGACTGCCTCACGCTCTGGAGGGCTCTCGAAAGCCTACAGTACAACTACCCCCAGGTGGAGGAGTGGATCTCAACCTGTGCATCGACCAAGCCTCACACTTGTGGTAAATCAATGCAAAATGATACACGGCTGCTGCTTTGATATAAAAAAAATACTACTGATGTTACGGATTTGTTGTGTTTGGAACTCATTGGCCTACACCAGAGACAGCCTTGTCCATGGCCTTGTCTCTGCACCTATGTTAGACCAGATAATGAAGCCAAAAGACGGACAGTACAATGACAATGTAAGCAAACACTGCTTTGATAATTTTGGAATAATAACCCTCATTGAAGTGTTCGGAACTTATTGGCCTCTACACCAGAGATGGCAGAAAGCGCTGCCACAGTTGTGGAACCAAAACTTGGGTGCCATCCTTGTTAAGAGGCACACGGGCGCGAAACATCGCCCCGGTGAGTGAACGAAAAAATATCACACGATGGCCTCCCGTCCCGGTATCGAAAAGCCGTGTTGTTTTTGTGTAGTTTGTTTGTTTGTTTTGAAGCTTGAGAAATGCAAAAATAACGGATGAAAGTTTAAGAACAGGTGTGATTTATATACACAGCCGTGTCTGGCAATAATAAAAACAAGAGGTGGTGTTAAGATGTAATGCAGACTTTAGATGCCTTTTGCAAGATATCATGAAGTAATGCATTAACCCACACACACATCATACTTGTGTAAATACATGCAAACATGCTCTGATAATAACAATGTATGGCATTGTCTCTGCACCCCTAGCAGTGTGTTAGTAGACCAGAGAATGCCAAAAGGCGAACAGTACAAAGACCACCCCAGTGGCAAGATGTTAACTATCTCGCCTCGTATGCAGGACGTCGTGGGTACAATGTCAATCCGGATGCCTGCTGTATATTGGGAGTTTGCATCTCTCTGTCTCGCTCCCCGTGGTGGTCACTGCGTGGAAGTCCTCCAGGTTTTCCTCCCTCCACGTTTAGAATCAACCTCGCGCGTTAAAGAGTATTTGGCTGCTATACATTTCCACGTGATGAGCCACTTCGTTGAGCCGCTATAATTCGTGATGGCCAGGTCGCTTCTGAAAAATTGCTACACAGCTCCGTAGCGGAGCCTTACCTGTTAAAATAAAAAAAAAATTTTGTTTGAGTAAAAATGAAGTATGCAAAATAGCCTCGGTTGAGTGAACATTTTGACTGCATTCGTTTGATTTTTTATTTTCTCTCGTTCAACCTCCAGACGGGAAGCCTGGTCACTCTAGTCAACCCGACTCGACTGCATTGGATCAAGATGAACAGCAAATCACGCAGATTGATCCTAAACGACATACTCGGGTCCCTGTAATTACTGGTGAGTTTAGTCTAGTCTATGGGTCTCTATGTATCTATATGGGTTTCTGTGTGTCTGTATGGGTCTCTATGTATCTATATGAGTGTCTTTGTATGTATATATGGGTCTATATGTAACTATATGGGTCTATATTTATTTTTTTATGGGTCTCTGTATATCTATATGGGTCTGCGTCTCGATGTATCTCTATGGATTTTAAGTATTTGGCTGCTGCTACAAATGTCCACATGATGATGATGATATCAGCCACTTGGTTGAGCTGCTACAATGTGTGGTGGCCAAGTCGCTTCTGAAAGAGATGCTACAAGAAAGCTCAGCAGTGGGGTCTTAGACCTGGTACAAATAAAATCTGTTGTAGCAGCAGTAGTTGCTACGTCAAAAACTCGAACACGCGGTTAATCCGCAAGCCAGATAAACCACACGTGCGGATTATGATCAAGAACCTGGGTAGTGAGATACTGGGTAGTGAGACAGTGGGTAGCGAGACACTGGGTAATGAGACCCTGGGTAGTGAGACACTAGTTGTGAGACACTGGGTATCGATACACTGGTCGTGAGACGCTGGGTAGTCAGACACTTGGTCGTGAGATACTGGTTGTGAGACACTGGGTAGCGAGACACTGGGTAGCGAGACACTGGGTAGTGAGACATTGAGTAGTGAGACACTGGGTATTGAGACATTGGGTAGCGAGACACTGGGTAGCGAGACATTGGGTAGTGAGATACAGGGTAGTGAGACACTGGGTAGCGAGACACTGGGTGGTGAGACACTGGGTAGTGAGACACTGGGTAGTGAGACACTGGGTAGCGAGACATTGGGTAGTGAGACACTGGGTAGTGAGACACTGGGTAGTGAGACACTGGGAAGTGAGACATTGGGTAGTGAGACACTGGGAAGTGAGACACTGGGTAGTGAGACACTGGGTAGCGAGACATTGGGTAGCGAGACACTGGGTAGTGAGACACTGGGTAGCGAGACACTGGGTAGTGAGATACAAGGTAGTGAGACACTGGGTAGCGAGACATTGGGTAACGAGACACTGGGTAGTGAGACACTGGGTAGTGAGACACTGGGTAGTGAGATACAAGGTAGCGAGACACTGGGTAGTGAGACACTGGGTAGTGAGACACTGGGTAGTGAGACACTGGGTAGTGAGACACTGGGTAGCGAGACATTGGGTAGTGAGATACAGGGTAGTGAGACACTGGGTAGTGAGACACTGGGTAGTGAGACACTGGGTAGTGAGACACTGGGTAGTGAGACACTGGGTAGTGAGACACTGGGTAGCGAGACATTGGGTAGTGAGATACAGGGTAGTGAGACACTGGGTAGTGAGACACTGGGTAGTGAGACACTGGGTAGCGAGACATTGGGTAGTGGATACAGGGTAGTGAGACACTGGGTAGTGAGACACTGGATAGTGAGACATTGGGTAGTGAGACATTGGGTAGTGAGACACTGGGTAGCGAGACACTGGGTAGCGAGACACTGGGTAGCGAGACACTGGGTAGCGAGACACTGGGTAGCGAGACACTGGGTAGTGAGATACAAGGTAGTGAGACACTGGGTAGCGAGACACTGGGTAGTGAGACACTGGGTAGCGAGACACTGGGTAGTGAGATACAAGGTAGTGAGACACTGGGTAGTGAGACACTGGGTAGTGAGATACAAGGTAGTGAGACACTGGGTAGCGAGACATTGGGTAACGAGACACTGGGTAGTGAGACACTGGGTAGCGAGACACTGGGTAGTGAGATACAAGGTAGTGAGACACTGGGTAGCGAGACATTGGGTAACGAGACACTGGGTAGCGAGACACTGGGTAGTGAGATACAAGGTAGTGAGACACTGGGTAGCGAGACACTGGGTAGCGAGACACTGGGTAGTGAGACACTGGGTGGTGAGACACTGGGTAGTGAGACACTGGGTAGCGAGACACTGGGTAGCGAGACACTGGGTAGCGAGACACTGGGTAGCGAGACACTGGGTAGTGAGATACAAGGTAGTGAGACACTGGGTAGCGAGACACTGGGTAGTGAGATACAAGGTAGTGAGACACTGGGTAGCGAGACACTGGGTAGTGAGACACTGGGTAGTGAGACACTGGGTAGCGAGACACTGGGTAGTGAGATACAAGGTAGTGAGACACTGGGTAGCGAGACATTGGGTAACGAGACACTGGGTAGCGAGACACTGGGTAGTGAGATACAAGGTAGTGAGACACTGGGTAGCGAGACATTGGGTAACGAGACACTGGGTAGCGAGACACTGGGTAGTGAGACACTGGGTAGCGAGACACTGGGTAGTGAGATACAGGGTAGTGAGACACTGGGTAGTGAGACACTGGGTAGCGAGACACTGGGTAGTGAGACACTGGGTAGCGAGACACTGGGTAGCGAGACACTGGGTAGTGAGACACTGGGTAGCGAGACACTGGGTAGTGAGATACAAGGTAGTGAGACACTGGGTAGCGAGACACTGGGTAGTGAGATACAAGGTAGTGAGACACTGGGTAGCGAGACACTGGGTAGTGAGAGACTGGGTAGCGAGACACTGGGTAGCGAGACACTGGGTAGTGAGATACAAGGTAGTGAGACACTGGGTAGCGAGACATTGGGTAACGAGACACTGGGTAGCGAGACACTGGGTAGTGAGATACAAGGTAGTGAGACACTGGGTAGCGAGACACTGGGTAGTGAGATACAAGGTAGTGAGACACTGGGTAGCGAGACACTGGGTAGTGAGACACTGGGTAGTGAGACACTGGGTAGCGAGACACTGGGTAGTGAGATACAAGGTAGTGAGACACTGGGTAGCGAGACATTGGGTAACGAGACACTGGGTAGCGAGACACTGGGTAGTGAGACACTGGGTAGTGAGACACTGGGTAGCGAGACATTGGGTAGTGAGACACTGGGTAGTGAGACACTGGGTAGTGAGACACTGGGAAGTGAGACATTGGGTAGTGAGACACTGGGAAGTGAGACACTGGGTAGTGAGACACTGGGTAGCGAGACATTGGGTAGCGAGACACTGGGTAGTGAGACACTGGGTAGCGAGACACTGGGTAGCGAGACACTGGGTAGTGAGATACAAGGTAGTGAGACACTGGGTAGCGAGACATTGGGTAACGAGACACTGGGTAGTGAGACACTGGGTAGTGAGACACTGGGTAGTGAGATACAAGGTAGCGAGACACTGGGTAGTGAGACACTGGGTAGTGAGACACTGGGTAGTGAGACACTGGGTAGTGAGACACTGGGTAGCGAGACATTGGGTAGTGAGATACAGGGTAGTGAGACACTGGGTAGTGAGACACTGGGTAGTGAGACACTGGGTAGTGAGACACTGGGTAGTGAGACACTGGGTAGTGAGACACTGGGTAGCGAGACATTGGGTAGTGAGATACAGGGTAGTGAGACACTGGGTAGTGAGACACTGGGTAGTGAGACACTGGGTAGCGAGACATTGGGTAGTGAGATACAGGGTAGTGAGACACTGGGTAGTGAGACACTGGATAGTGAGACATTGGGTAGTGAGACATTGGGTAGTGAGACACTGGGTAGTGAGACACTGGGTAGCGAGACACTGGGTAGTGAGACACTGGGTAGCGAGACACTGGGTAGCGAGACACTGGGTAGTGAGACACTGGGTAGCGAGACACTGGGTAGTGAGATACAAGGTAGTGAGACACTGGGTAGCGAGACACTGGGTAGTGAGACACTGGGTAGCGAGACACTGGGTAGTGAGATACAAGGTAGTGAGACACTGGGTAGTGAGACACTGGGTAGTGAGATACAAGGTAGTGAGACACTGGGTAGCGAGACATTGGGTAACGAGACACTGGGTAGTGAGACACTGGGTAGTGAGACACTGGGTAGTGAGATACAAGGTAGTGAGACACTGGGTAGTGAGATACAAGGTAGTGAGACACTGGGTAGCGAGACACTGGGTAGCGAGACACTGGGTAGTGAGATACAAGGTAGTGAGACACTGGGTAGCGAGACATTGGGTAACGAGACACTGGGTAGCGAGACACTGGGTAGTGAGATACAAGGTAGTGAGACACTGGGTAGCGAGACACTGGGTAGCGAGACACTGGGTAGTGAGACACTGGGTGGTGAGACACTGGGTAGTGAGACACTGGGTAGCGAGACACTGGGTAGCGAGACACTGGGTAGCGAGACACTGGGTAGCGAGACACTGGGTAGTGAGATACAAGGTAGTGAGACACTGGGTAGCGAGACACTGGGTAGTGAGACATTGGGTAACGAGACACTGGGTAGTGAGACACTGGGTAGCGAGACACTGGGTAGTGAGACACTGGGTAGTGAGACACAGGGTAGTGAGACACTGGGTAGCGAGACACTGGATAGCGAGACACTGGGTAGTGAGACAATGGGTAGCGAGACACTGGTGGTGAGACTCGACCATAAAGAAGGCTGCTGTCTCTGTTATAGACCAATCAGTTTCATAGACAATGCAAGTTCATTATTAGAGCCATATTTGTTTACATGTTCACCACAAGCACCATGTGTGTGGTCAATGCCACTAAGTAACTTTATTCCTCGCAAAAAAAATAAATGCCGTCTATTTAAGATATTTGAACATCTTAACACAACTCCTGTCAGAAAGGATAAAAAAAACACGTTTTTACTTGACAAAGCTTTATAGCTAATCGGATTATGTTTGTTTATTACCACCACCGACAACCCACCCACCCACCCACCACCATCCCCAGACAAGGAGCTGCTGCAGATCCACCAGACTCTGCGCGACAACGGCTTCATCTGGGACTACCCCCACGTGATGAGACTCGCGGGCCTGGCGGAATCCTTCATCAGCGAGGCGAGCGAGAACCACGGGCAGAATGTGAACGAGAGGAACTATGCCATGCTCAGGCACTGGAGGGAGAGCCTGGGCCGGCGGGCCACCTACGGCAGGCTGGCCGAGACGCTGGACAAGGCCGGCTTTAGTGGCACGGCGGAGATGGTGATGAAGCTGTGCGACGGCTTCGCTAGGCGGGAGGAGGAGGAAGAGTGGCGGGAGGAGGAGGTGCAGGACATATATATAGACTCCTAGAGACACAACATTAAGAAGTGGAGGAGGAGCAGGAGTAGGAGGATTTGGTGGTGGAGGTCTTCCTCTTTTCGTTTTTCTCGGTATGTGTCATTGCCGTTCGTTTTATAGTTTTGTTCAACTCTGATGATGGTGATGATGATGGTGGTGGTGTTGATGGTGATGTGGTGGTGATGATGATGGTGGTGCTAAGTGGTGGGGATGATGGTGGTGATGGTGGTGGTGGCAGTGACGATGATGGTGGTGGTGATGGTGGTGGTAGGCGGTGGTGCTGGTGGTGGTTTGTGGCTGTGGAGAGCGGTGGTGGTTAGCAGCGTCTACTACAACACTAAAGACGCCCACGACCTCCTGTGTACCAGGCCAGGTAGTTAACATCTTTGCCAGGGTCCGGGATCGAACCTACGGCCCTCCTTTATACCAGGCGAGGTAGTTAGCATCTCATAGGGTCCGGGATTGAACCCACGACCTCCTGTGTACCAGGCCAGGTAGTTAACATCTTTGCCAGGGTCTGGGATCGAACCTTTTGCCCTCCAGTATACCAGGCAAGGGAGGTAGCAGCTTCTGCTACAAAAAGGCAAAGAGGGCAGAGTTCGATTGTCGCTCAAGGCCACCAACCACTCACCACCAAACCGGGCCTCCCCTAGGTCGACTCAGCCCTCAAATGAGTTTTCCCTGCTTACTGCGGTGGAGTCGTAGCCGTAGTGGTTATTAAACATCGCCACTGGGGAGAGAGACAAAGGCGGCAGGGCGTGCGTGGTGTTGGCTAATCCACCCATCCACCCAGGCACCTCCTGGTGCCAGAGTACCGACATCAGCACCGCTGCTGCTGCTGCTCGCTACTCACAAACAGCCCCTTGGGTGAGTGAGTGTGTGGGTGAGTGAGTGGGTGAGTGTTTGGTTGAGCGAGTGGGTGAATGAATGTCTGGGTGAGTGTCTGGGTGAGCGAGTGGGTGAGTGGGTGTCTGGGTGAGTGTCTGGGTGAGAGAGTGCGCGAGAGAGTGTGGTGCCTCAAATATTGGAAGAAGAAGTCACCCCCTGTGAGTGGCTGGCTGAGGTGCCATCTGTTGAGGAAGTACTGAAGGCGATCCGGAGTGTGAGACCAGGAAAAGCACCGGGCAGAGATGATCTCCCAAGCGAAATGCTGAGGGAGGGTGGCATTTGTGCACAGACTGCCCTAGATGACATCATAATGTGGCACATTAGGAATGGATCACTCTTTTAAGTATACCATTGTGCAGCAAGGGAGTAAAGTGTGGTTCTGTGAAGGTCCTGATGTGCTGTGCAGTGCATCAATGCATGTGTGTACAGCAGCATGTGATGACTGAGTCGGGCCTGTAAGTGGCTGGCAGGGTTATTGAATGTCCACGCGGATATACCAGTCACATGGTTAATGGCGGCTCAGGAACAAGGCTGGTTGTAACACACGTGTTGTTGCATTTTACAGTTAAAGGACCCAAAGGTTGTTTTTGATCGTTATATAAATGTTCTAGACTTGTTCTAGACTTAAATTTCGATTTAAAGCTTTAGTGACTGCAGGGATTCATCTTCTTGGTTCTTTCGGTAAAGTTACGTAGAAGGGAAGTAATAAAATAATAAAAATAAAACATAATAAAATCAAATAATTCTCTGATTTTATTATGTTTTATTTTTATTATTTTATTACTTCCCTTCTACGTGACTTTACCGAAAGAACCAAGAAGATTGTTCTAGACTTGGCTTTGAATTGTTCGTTTGTGATATATGCAATTAGAGGCGTTTTAGCACTGTGCATTGCAAAGGGATGACGCACTGTAATTAGTTACTGTCATTGTAATTCTCTAACTCTAATACTGTTTAGTCTATAACCATGTTTATGTACCCAGCATATGACTACTTGCAATGCTATTGAGCATAGAACACATGTAAAGTAGTAAGCTGTACAATGGTGATATACAGTACGTATACTGTACACATACAGTACATATAATGGGTGTAAGATACCGATAGAAGTGGATGGTATAGATAGACATACAGCGTAGGATTAAAGTAATATTCGAATAGTGATGTGCAAATGTGATTGTCAAAGACAAATATGGTTTATCAGCAGTAGAATTGGGTTTAAGAGAAAGGGGTTAATGAATAACCGCACGTGTAAACCAGCCACATGGTTAATGGCGTCTCGGAAGATTGCTGCGTGTAACACGCGCTGTTGCATTTTACAGAGTGACGGTGCTGTTCTTCCCAAGATTCATATGAACCACAATAAATAAATGTGCTTGCCCTCGATTTGGAGCACCTGCCCACGTCCTTCATCTCGAGTGTGCAACAATAAGAACTGTCTAGACCAGTGGAGGAGATCCACAGGAGTGGAAGGATGCCCTGGTGGTCCCCCTCTTGAAGAAGGTGGACCGCACAGACTGTAACAACTACAGGGGCATCTCACTCCTCAGTGTGCCCTCAAAGATCCTGGCAAGGATTGTTCAACATCTCCTTGTCAGGCACGCTGAGGAGAGGCTTGCTGAGCCCCAATCTGGTTTTGAGAAAGGGCGGTCCTGCACGGATGCCATATTTTCTGTCCGTCTGCTACAGCAGAGGTGTAGGGAATTCCCACAAGACCTACATCTCTGCTTTATTGACCTGGTCAAGGCCTATTATACCATCAGTAGGCCTGGGCTCTGGGTTGTTCTTCGTGCTTTCGGAGTCCCTGACCCGCTGCTTACGATCATTAAGGACCTTCACCATGGTGAGCGGGCCCGGGTAAAACTATGTGGCCGGGAGTCGGAGCCACTCCCTGTACATCTTGGGGTGCGACAGGGATGTCCTCTGGCTCCCACATTATTTAACATCTATTTTGACCACGTAGTTCGTGAAGCCTTCAATTGCTGTATGGGAGGAATTTCCATCTGGTACAGATACAATGGGAGGCTGATCGATGCCCAGGTGCAATCAAGGGATGGCTCCCTATTGGTCAACCACGTTATGTATGCCGATGATCTGGTAATTGCTGCTCACTCAGCGGAGGAGTTGGAGGCGCTGCTGCTGAACCTGGAGCTTGCCACTAAGAGGTGGGGCTTTACCATCAGCCCCACCAAAACTAAGCACCTGCCTGGATATTTTGTACCATCGGACACTCCACCCCCACAACTCCCAATTGGTGATAGGGCAGTTGTAGAAAGAGTGGAGAGTTTCCCATACCTGGGCAGTGTGCTCATGACCGGTTGCGTAACGCTTCGTGGAAGCTACCTGGTCTGTCGCTCCACACAAAGCTTCAGGTCTTCTCGGCCACAGTCATGCCCTTCTCTATGATTGCAAAACGTGGACCCCCCCCTAATGGAACATCTTCGCCGGTTAGAAACATTTAGGCTGTCCTGCCTACGATCCATCCTGGGTTTAACCAGGCAGGATTGTGTGAAGAGCTCACACATCCTTAAAGATCTGGACAAAGTCCCAATGGTGAGCTCCTCTGGCAGGCAGGGCTGCATTGGCTGGGTCATGTAGCCCGCATGTCCAGCCACCGCATGCCTAAACAAGTTTTGTTCAGCCGGATAGATGGGGCTAAACAGGCACGGCATGGGCTGGAGAAGTGATGTGGTACAGGAAGATCAGCCTCTGTGGAGGAGGCTTGTGAAGGATGCTATTAGGCAGTCGGATGCAGTCGCCCTCCAACAACAACGGAGGGCAGAGGAGCGATGCTCACAACAATGAGCAGAGCGCCAGGTGGCTAAAGCACAGCAAGTTGGCACAGTAGGGAGCACAGGTGGCGCATTGGCTAATCATCTCAATTTGTCAACCCGTGGAACCTGGATCTGCCCCGTGACCTGCTAGCGGGCGTTCGACACTTCACTTGGTCTCAACGTGTACATATCCTGGCACAAGTTTCACTTAGTGACGAATGGCAGTTGTTTTGTTGTTGATGAGTGTGTGTGTTGGTGAGTGAGTGACTGTGGGTGACTGCCTCCCAAAAACCAACCCCTCGTCCACGTAGTGGGAGGTGGTAACAGGTGAAGTACATGATTGCCTGACAGGGCGAAGTATGGTGGGTGATTCGACCACCTGGGCCGCTTCGGTAACCATGAAGGCCTGTCTGGACGCAACCTGGAAACGCGCTGGCTAACGGGGCTCTGGTTAGCCACTTAGGCTAAGGGAGTAAAACCTGAAAACATCCCGGGTGGATATCAAGTGGCTAACGGCCCACCACGGTGGTGTGAATTAGCCACAGTCCAGATGGCCAATGGCATATGGCGGAGAAGCCTTCCAATCGTCTTGGTTTTCTGCCTCACCATTGGACCTAAGCTTGGCTCCTGGTTAAGCCCCGTGCGGTAGGCTGGTGTGCAACACACACTGCACATACATTAATTCACACACTGGCACCCTCCAGGGACACTGTGCTATCGCACCACCACACTACACACCCAAAGTCCTTGGGCGATTGGCAAGTAGCGATCGGGGCAGGCCTATGCAGCTAGAAGCTCCTAGTCACAACCCAGCACCAAGGCGGCAGCTAATAGAAGGTCGTCATGCACTCGGATTAGGGCAGGAGAGCATCCCAGCAGCTGTAGCTGTGACTGAGCAGCTCACAAGGATCCACTCTACTCACCCCAAATGGGTTAGGGGGCTAGAAAAGGTGCCCTAGCAACATCCTGTCTGGCTTACCGCGACCAGAGGGAGCATCAATAATTGTGGTCGAAACTAAAATAAATATAACCTATACATTTGTAATAAAGGTCGTTGAAGCGACATCTGGAATCCGGTCTTTATTCGTCTTTCTTTACAACCAATCCTGGTTAGCCTCTATGGAATCTTCTAGACTCCACCGTAGGCTCCCGGGACCACGCCCCTGACTCGTCTCCCCATTGGCTGTGGCTAAAGCCGGCAGGGCCAATCATCTACTTACAGATGTCACCTTCCCGTGACGTCAGGGCCACGCCCCTGACTCGTCTCCCCATTGGCTGTGGCTAAAGCCAGCAGAACCAATCCTCTACTTACAGATGTCACCTTCCCGTGACGTCAGGGCCACGCCCCTGACTCGTCTCCCCATTGGCTGTGGCTAAAGCCAGCAGAACCAATCCTCTACTTACAGATGTCACCTTCCCGTGACGTCAGGGCCACGCCCCTAGGCTTCCCCCCATTGGCTATGGACCAGGACCGGCAGAGCCAATCATCGTGACGAGTTGTGATCCGTCAGCGACCCGGATATATCCTCACATTACATATGTAATGGCAGAGATTAAGGATGAATAAAGTATAACCATAACTTGATTTTAAACTTATGTGACTGCAGGAATCCAGACTCTTTGGTTCTTTCGGTAAAGTCACGTAGATATAAAATAATAAAAAATCACGTCGTTTCGGGCGCAACACTTTACTTTTATTCTTTTCTGCGGCTGCCCAAAAAACTGGCGAATGTAACTGCCACCCTTCCTCTTGCTCATGATGACACTCGCTGTGAATGAAAGCTGACTAATAAAACTGCTTGCGCTTTAATCAAAGAAACACTAATAATGCTATTTATCATAAGCAAGTACAGCTATACACTATACTATACGAATATGCAATGAAATCTACTGTCTACAAATATTACACGTGCAGCGCAACATAAATGGTTAACACTTTACTCAGACTTCACGTGGGCTTTCTGACAAATATAACGTAATAAAGACATTAATGTTAGTTTAATACGCCCGTGAGCGCCATTGTTGGTCGCTGGCTGAATGTGCGGCTAATTAACTTTCCAAGTAACTTTTCAAATGATTGATTAGCAATCGCAAATCGGCCCGTTTTCACCAAAAACGTTTGTTTCCACTCGACAGTGTGATAGCCTACGTAACACTCATATTACATTCTAGTTTTCCAATTTTTAAAATAAATTTTAAAGTAATGAAATGGAGAGACAGGACAGTGTGTGACATTGTACCTGCCCACAGCAGTCGAACAACGGCTTCTGCTGGGGTACGGCAACACAACTTGGACAAACCACACACAGAACTGCAGTACACCGTAATACTAAAACTGAGAGTTATAATAATGGCAATTAGTTATGATTATGATTATATTTGCTCATGATTATTTCGGACGGTGGTGCGTGGTTGCCTGTCGTAGCATAGCAATTATTTAAATATATCTATTTTATCAATATATTGGGGCGGACATTTTGAGCATATTTGAATATTGGGTGGGATGTGTGTCCCCCGGGTATCGGGTACCCGGTTTCCCGCCCGGCCGCCTTTGTCTTCCCAAAATGGCGACGTTTACTACGCCAGACAACACACACACCATGGAACCAGGTACACTCTTACCCCCTCCCTTCCCCCCTGGCTCGGGGTACAAACTGAAAGAGGAAGTAGGAGGCCGCTTGCTCGCTCGCTCTGTCTATCTGTGTCTGTGTCTCTCTGTGTCTGTCTCCCTGTCTCTCGCTTTATTCCGAGGTATAGATAGAGGCATGTGAGGGGTGAGACAGCGGGATGGAGACACCTGGAGCTTAAACTCCGTCCGTGGAAGAGGAACTTCGCTCGTCGCGTTTGTGCTCTCATTTGTGGTGAGTATCTGTGTGGGAATCTGTGGTGAATTTGCGAGTATCTGTGGAGAGTTTGTGTGT